ATATATACATATATATATATATAAATAATTTTAATTTAAATATTATATATTTTAATTTATATCAACATATTTACCAAGCAAATTCCATTTTTTTAATTGTAAACAATTTCTTATTGCAAAACATACTAATATAATGTTATTTATTTTTTAACAAAAAAATACCAATATTGTTAACCTTATGCCTGAATTTTAGATAAACTCCCTGATTTTTTTTTTCTTTAGCATTTAAAAAGTTGTATACAGAAAGTATAATTTATCAAACTCCCCTAAATCATGAGGATCTGACACTGTCACCTAAACAGAATTAACAGAACACAACCTTAATCTGTCTAGTCTGTTGAAAGTACATGTACAGTTTGCAGCAAACTTCTTGAAAAATATACTTTCATTAACATTTGCTTTCCTAAACTATGAATGTTTTGCTCATGAAACACAGAGGCTTATAGAAAATAGAGTGCAATATTCAATAGCTGCTAGTACAGATGTAAAATACAGTAAGTTATAAAGCACTTTTAAATGAATGCCTTGCGTAAGTGAGATGAATGAGGTTCCATATGGTCAGAAATGTCATTTTATAAATATAGGGTTAACTGAAGACTGATCTGTTCTAATTGTACATCAAAGCACCAATCAAATCCACGTCAATGACAGATGCATGTTACAGTCTTGGACTTTAAAAGGTTTATTAAATGGTACAGTTTACCATGAAAATAAAATGCATTTTTGACATGTACATTATTCAAATACTTTTAGGGAGTTGTTTGACATATTAGAAACAATTGTGCCTTTACGGTCTTTTATACAAGGATATTCTGAGACATAATATAATTTGTGATGTATTTTTTCTCTTAAGCAGTACCTCCTTATTTTTTTAATTTGATTTACATATGTGTGGAATTTTAGATCTCACATAAAAAAACTATTTTTCTAGTCACTCACAAAAAACATAGATTTTTTTAAAACCATAGAAAGCAAGCTTGTTTGATTTACTCCTCCCCTTTCATTATATATCACATTTTCCTGCCAATTTTGCTGTATCCATTTAGAAATATTTTTTTCCATTTATCTAGCAACTTTATTTAAGACCAAGTATTTATGTATTTTTTTGAAAAAAAAGGTAAATCAATTAATAAAAGAAAACATTATCTAGAGCCCGATGTACTAAAGTGTGACAAATGGTAAAGTTCGCAGGACTGTGTTCTATGTTTACAAAACATTCAGGTTAAGTGAATGAGGTTGGACGTCCTCATTCATTCACAGGCTGACTTCACCACTTTTTAGTAAATCAGGCTCCTAGTCAGTTAAATGGTAATTTAAAAAAAACGAATTGGCTATTTGACATGAACATAGGTTCACTAGGCCAGCATCAAGATCAATGCTTTGGTAAACTGGTCCAATTATTTCCAGAAGATGGATATATTTTTCATTATTCTATTATTAACACATAATAAAAATAACCTACAGACATAAATATCAAATATTGTAGTATTATGCATAATAGAAAAGCACGTTTCTTCATTTTCAGATTCTATAATGTATTAATTCACACCGGGCATATCCTAGTCTTCCAGCTATGTATATTTATGTGAGTAAACAAGGGCTGTTAAAAAAATAGAAGTTCTTGAATCATAAGTGTGATAAATACTTGGAGGAAGATCCATTAACACTGATCTCAAGTCATATCCAATGAAGCATGTTAGGGATCATTCAGACCTGTGCACCATAAACTGCGGGTCAAAAAAGCCTGTAGTTTTCAAAATGCGGTATCACTGCAGTGAAAAAGTATAATTGGAGGGTGCATATCACAGCACCCTTTGTGAAGTGCATCCAAATTGCTGCATGGAGGAGTTTTGAGATGCATTGACAAATACACTGAGCACCAACAGTAAGGTAAAAATGCTTCCGTACCCAAACACGGTTTGAGACTTTAAATAGGCCGCTCGGGAAAATCCATAGATTGAAGTCCATAGATTTAAATGAATTTTAATACATTGGTGTAATTGCAGATTTAGAACTAGAAAATAGTTACTATCTGTCATCACAGACTAGACTAGAATAATTTTTAAACCAAAAAATAAAAATACAAAGGTTATCATAATTTGCTCATAAATAAAGATAGATAGATAGATAGATAGATAGATAGATAGATAGATAGATAGATAGATAGATAGTATTTCCTTAAAAAAATATTAGTATTTAAATATAAAAGTGGTGTAATACTTTCAAAAATTGCCAGGTATTTCATTAATTATATGTGTGTTATTTTAATATGAGCTCGTTAGTCAAAATATTCTATATTTTTATCCTAATATTCTCATGATGTAATGTTGTATTTATAAATACATCCATATACATAAATATAATATGTAATAGCTATGAAATGTATGGCTTTGGAATTTGTGTGTGTGTGTGTATATAGTAAATTAATTTATATATGTTTGGTTGTGTGTAAATGCGCGCGCATTTTATCCCGAATATGTTGATTGTACAAGAAAAGAAATCTGAGCCCATCTATGTAGTTCAAATGTAGGCAGAGTGGGATTAGAAGGGACCTCTCTTAAACTTGAACAGAGACTGGGAAAAAGCAATAAAGATAAGGTATGACAACAGCATTGCAGGACCTGTTGCTCATCAACATAGTTCTTTACTGCAGAAAGGCACATTTCAATATTGGCTATGCAGAAATGAAAGCTATCTGTATATGCAGTCAGGAAAAGTCACTTCAGACTCAACGTCATGTGGTTTTACAGGTGACTTGTTTCACCTCTTTGGGTTAAATGTTTTCTCCTAAGATTTCACAACAAAACATAACATACCTACAAGAAATACCAAGTTTAAGAAGCTACTGACATATGTGAAATACGCACATTCTTTGTAATACCTTTATTGCTGGCTACAATACTAAATACCTGTCATGTCCTGCTTTCACAGCCTGAAACTATATAATTTGCTATTTTCTAGCCTGGGTCCTTCTATTTCTCAACAATTTGTGGCACTACAAATGTACAGAACAAGCCTGTCAGCGGTCACGTTACTCTATTTTGATTTTTTCTACTTTGATAACTGTTACATACCTAATGTTAAATTATTTATCTTTATTAATATTCAGTTATTGTGTTTTTTAGTCAATTTTGGTAAGAATTTTTTTTTACAAACATTTGCAGTGCTGTCAGTAAATATGAGAAAATCTGTCCTCAAATGTATTCAAATATGGTGAAAATATATTTCTGTACTTCCCGCCTTAAAATACATATTTGTTTTAAAAACAAATTTCCGTGATAATATTTTCAGTGTGACTTAAAACTGTGTAAATAATCACAGATTAAATAGTATGGTTTTTGATAACATTACCTAAAATATTCAGAGAAGTTTTAAACACATAAACACTAATATCACTTTGGTTAAATATTTATTTATTTCTTCCCATTGCTGTGGTGATAAATGCTTGCTTATGTTTTCGCTGTCATATGCCTGGTGATTTACTAGTGTGTTATTTTCTGCTGCCCATTTTTCAATATTACTTATTTGATTGCTTTTTAGATATTTATATGATGATTTATTATCAATACTGTGAAATTTAGCTGTATAAATAGCATAGACAAAGCATTAGGTGATAAAGGTATGAAAAGTAGAATTGTGTACATTGTATCATTTGCAGAATGCATTTTTCAAAATATTTACCTTACTAGATTACTAAATTAATAAAGTGCAAATGGGTCAAAACATGCAGCTTTGAGTGATAAAACAACTCGCCAGCTGTGCAGTACAGTTATCACGGAACTTTAATTTTTGTATAGAGTTTTCTCACACAATTTGGATAATTGGTAATGTAGTGCAGCTTTCCTTTACCTAACATATATTCTGATAATGCAAAACAGTTGCGGCCTCAGACTAAAGGAAAATCTGCTAGCAGTTGTGGAACATTCACTTTCAGAATAACCAGGCCCAACACAAGCAGCTATAGGACAAAGCACTTGTAGTGAAAAGGAATTGGCAAACTAGGGGGAGGAGAAGGGGGATGGAGATGAAAAGAGTGAACTTGCAGTCTCTGTGTACCTGCAGAAGGTACCAAGCGATTCCTTAAGACAGCGTTTACACTAGTGTGATGTGTCTCTGAAACCGTTATCATGCCAGGGACTCCCTTTGACTTTAAAGTTCTGTTTGTTTATCAAGTAACTCTAGATTAATATCGTTTGGTGTTTATTGTCTGTGGAAACATTATAGGGGATGCCATATGTATTATTTCTGCTCTAACTCGATAACAGTCGATAACAGATTATGTAGTCTATACGCTTTGCAATTCAATTAATATACCAAATGAAACAGAATACATTTTTATCATAACACACTAGTATCACAGGCAAAAGCATTAGAGAGAAAAAAAAACTAGTTGCACTTACACTGGCTTTGATGGGTCCAAACTCTTAAACGTCACTTATACTTTGACAAGTGCATCCAAATAAAGAGAAGTAACATGTCCTGAAAGTAATAAGTGAGATTACAAGCTCTCGCCTTCTTTGTCCTGTTACCGAGGCAGAGAAGTCTGGCTAGAATCAGATTTTGAGTTCTGAGCAAGACCGATGATGGTGCAGAAGCTGTAGGCTGAGAGATGAGGGTCAGCTTTTGACAGGAGATTTAGAAACAACTAGTGGTACTGCTGTAATGGTCACTGTCCAGTGGATGCATCCTTCACACTGATCACAGACTGCAGTGAGGAGACATTCCCAGATCCCACAGAAACTTTTCCTTGATCTTCTCTAAAAAAATGTTTCTCAGAGATAGAATTTTTGGCCTTCTTTCTCCCTCCCCTTTGAGTCTCCCCCCCTCTTGCTGACGTTGCTCCTGTCAATCAGTTCCTTTAGGACTATGCTCCAGCAATATTATACACACTGAACTTAACTGTTTTGGTCCTTTTATATATCACCATGCTACTGCTTTATGAAAACAACTCCCAACCTAATTCAAAACCTTAGTGTCTGACCATTTCAATTTATTACTCACAACTATTTTTTCTAAATTCTCCAGTGGCTGCAGTAAACAAAATAACAGATATGATAACAACTAAGCAAGTATGTGAGAATCATTCATAAGTAAAGGTGTATTCCTTTTATACTTTTTTTGTATGAATTTATAATTTTAAGAAAGTTTCCCTTTATTTAATATAATGCTTATTGTAACATGCAATATAACTATAACGTAAACAATTCAGAATATTAAAAACAAAACTGATATATAATAT